GAAGCTTGCAGCTCCCACTACATCGCTCTGACCAAGAAAGGTAAAAGAATAGCAAAGAAACAGCACTAACAAAGTTTAGACACATAAATTTTGAAGGTCTAGCTACCATATTATTACCCACAAGGGTAAAGGAACAGTACCACTGCTGGATAATTGGAAAGTCCCTGTGTGTCAACCTCTGTGCTTCGTGGCAAGGTAGACTAGCAAACATGCCCAACCTTTACTCACATTCGAGAAAACAGTCCCAACAAGATTGCTTGCTCCAAAATCGAAGAGGCACCGTCCTCCGAATCTCGAGAGCCAGACTCCCAACATGACTACTTTCTCAAAATCGAAGAGAGGGTAAAGGAACAGTACCATTGCTGGATAATTGGAAAGTCCCTATGTGTCAACCTTTGTGCTTCGTGGCAAGGTAGACTAGCAAACATGTCCAACCTTTACTCACATTCGAGACAACACTCCCAACAAGATTGCTTGCTCCAAAATCGAAGAGGCACCGCCCTCCGAATCTCGAGAGCCAGACTCCCAACATGATTACTTCCTCAAAAATCGAAGAGACACTGCTCTCCGAATCTCGAGAGTCAGACCCCCAACATGATTGCTTTCTCAAAAATCGAAGAGGCATCGTTCTCCGAATCTCGAGAGCCAGATACCACATACCACTTTTTCAAAGTGCTCTGACAGAGTTAAAACATGTGAAACTGGCAGCTCCCACTACCGTGCTATGACCAAGCAGGGTAAAGGAATAGCATTACTACTTGTTGTTAGGGAGACTCCTATATATGTCGACCTCCATCCCCAACGGACAGGCAGACCTGCAAAAATGCTCAACCCTTCATCATATCTGATAGGGCACTCCCAACAAAGCCTTTCGAAATATTCAGCTTTCTTTCCCCCCGATAATACCTCTGCAAACAAGCTATACTAGAGCAAGAATATCTCATATCATCAGGGTTAAAAGCAAGAGTATCCCATATCATGCTTTTTCCCTGTTTTTTCTTTTGGCCTTGTTTTTACCGGCAAGACAAGGAGAAAGAGAGCAATCAGTCAGCACTTGGAATCAAGCTTCCAGCCAGGAACTGACTGCCTGGAACCCCTTACCTGATTACTTACCTGGCATTGCTCTCGAGTACTCATCTTCAACATCTTATGTTTCCAGGGAAGATTCCGCATCTGCTTGAGGAACAGATAGGGCAAGTGCGAAGGATACAAGGAAGCATGTGGAGACAAGCGTAACAGCACACGTGCCGATACATCCATTACTCTGTCAAAAGCAAAAGTATCCCATATCAGCAGGGTGGAACGTACTCTAGATTTGATGGACTTGTTTTGACCCTCAAATTCTTCAGTCGGCCTTATACTTTGGAGGAAACCAGAAAACCCTCCAGCTCAGTTCAAGAATAAGCCTGTGGAAAGTTACTTCTTCAAAAGCAAAAGTATCTCATATCATCTCTTCTCATTTTTCTTCTCTTTATCCTTCATGCTGCTGCAAGATGGGGAGAAGGTGAACAATCAGTCGGAGCTCTGATTGCTTACCTTGTCTGTCACCTCTTTCAGCAGACCCCCTAGCCCGGCGACTTGGGGGACTCCTACTACATGGTTTGTATCGCGCTTGACCAAGCCTGAAACTACAAGTAAGCTTCAAGTGAAATTGATACATTACCTTGTGCATCTCCACCAGTTAAAGATACCACCCCTGGATGGAGGAAGAGTACTTCCAGAGAAGATGCCACATCTACCTATGAGACAGATAAGGCAAGTCAAGACGACACCACACTCCGATACTTAGAAGTATCGTGATTACGAGATCATTCTCCCACAATATTTCCTAATGTCATTTGTACTAAATCATTCACTCGTACTCACTAAAGGAGAGCTTGAACCTATGTACTTGTGTAAACCCTTCACAATTAATGAGAACTCTTCTATTCCGTGGACGTAGCCAATCTGGGTGAACCACGTACATCTTGTGTTTGCTTTCCTATCTCTATCCATTTATATACTTATCCACACTAATGACCGGAGCAATCTAGCGAAGATCACAAAAAGCGACCGTTTTCGTTACCTATGATCTATCTTGCAAGAGAACGGAGAATTAGATGGAGATCTCAACCATAGAATACGAGCTGGATGGAAAGAGTGCATCCGGCGTGTTGTGTGACCGTCGTAGGCCACTGAAGCTCAAGGGAAAATTTTATAGGACGGCAATAAGGCCAGCGATGTTGTATGGCAGAGAATGTTGGGTGGTGAAGCATCAACACGTACACAAAATGGGTGTAGCGGAGATGAGGATGCTTCGTGGGATGTGTGGGCACACGAGAAAGGATAAGATTGGGAATGAGGATATCCGAGGTACAGTAGGAGTAGCCGAAATTGTAGGAAAGATGAGAGAAAATCGGCTCTGGTGATTTGGACATGTGCAAAGAAGGCCGACTGACGCTCCGGTTCGAAGATGTGACTACGGGACAGAGGTTCAGGGCCGAAGGGGTAGAGGAAGACCTAGGAAAACTTTGGAAGAGACTCTAAGAAAAGACTTAGAGTACTTGGATCTAACGGAGGACATGACACAAAACCGAGCGCAATGGCGTTCTAGGATTCATATAGCCGACCCCACTTAGTGGGAAAAGGCTTTGTTGTTGTTGTTGTTGTTGTTGTTGTTTCTCACTAGAGATCTTAAGATGGAATAGTTGAAGTTGAAAGAAAGAGGAACACTCAACCCGGAATGAGTCCCAAGACGAGCTTTCAATGATGATGTAATGTAACCCTATCACATTTTTGAGCCCCAATGTTTTCAAGAATCTGCAGCAAGAACAAACCCATTTGCAAAACCCCTTCCCACCATCCCCGATAACATAACTCATGTCTCAAGGTCAAGAACCAATAAAAAAGAGGTGTGATATTCACATACCATATTTTACTTCTTACATGTCTTTTTAATTTTCAGTCGTCGGATCAGTTGAATTGAAGATGATCAATGAACAAAAATTATCAAAAGTGTGTGAGAAATAAAATAGGATGTGTGGATAACACATATCATAAAAAAATATCAAAGCCTTTTAGTAGCGTTTAAAACCTGTTTTTGTAACTGTGTTTTGAGTCAAAATTTTCAGTCATTGTGGGGTGTTTCCTTTTTCTCGCGAAAAGGGTAGTTACCCAAAAGAACAGCGTCAGATCACGGTCTTCGAAGTGATAATTTTATCTTTAAAGTGGTATAAATTACACTTTACCACCTTAAATTTGAAGTCGATTTCAATTCCTTACAACATCTTTAAAACATTTAATTATCATACCTTAAATACTATTTTATTTCAATATAATACATCCGTAACATTTTCAATTCATTGATCCATTAATAGATGACGTGGATGCCACATTTATGCCAAATAGCTGCTAAATATGTGTCACGTGACAATTATTATTATTTTTTAATTTAACAAAAAACATGAATCTTCACAAAAAAAAAAAAAAAAAAAAAAACTGATAATGCAAAACCCACCCCCACCTCCCCGGCAACCCCTCCCCACCCATCTTCTCCCTCCCAAGCCTCCACTCTCTTCACCTCCCCTCTCATCCAAAAACCCACCCCACCCCCACCTTCCCCGAGCCCTTTCTCCTCTTCAACCCCACCCCCTTTCTCCCTTCTCTCATCTGCAACCCCACCCACCATTTTCTCCTTTGCAACTCACACCCACCTTCTTCCTCTCCTCTGCAACTCGCACTCACCTTTCTCCCCCATCCGAACCTTGCTCCCTGATGCATCAACAAGTGGGCTCGTCAGTCAGCTCCAACAACGAGGTATGTATTTAATTTTGTCCTTCAAATTTTGAATTTTTTTGGTGCTTGGTTGGTGGTGGTCTGGATGACGTTAGGTTTGCTAAGGGTGGGTGGGGTTGCAGATGAGAGAAGGGAGAAAGGGGGTGGGGTGGGTTTTTGGATGGGAGGGGAGGTGAAGAGAGTGGAGGCTCGGGAGGGAGAAGAGGGGTGGGGAGGGGTTGCGAGGGAGGTGGGGGGGGGTGGGTTTTTGTGTTTTGAGTTTTTTTTTTTTTTTTTTTAAATTAATTTTTTTTTTACCAAGTGGCACACATTTGGCAGCCACGTGACACAAATATGGCAGCCACGTCAGCTCTTAAGGGATCAATTGATGGAAAATGTAACAGATGTATTATATTGAAATAAAATAGTACTTGAGGAATAAAAATGAAATGTTTTAAAGATATTATAAGGAATTGAAATTGATCTCAAACCTGAAGTGGTAAAGTGTAATTTACCCTTTAAAGTATGTTATCAGCAAGCCACGTAATTTAAGTACACAGAGAATTGTAAGTTTGTGAGTGACAAGGAGAATGATTTTTTGTTCTTGACAAACTTGTTATTCAGTTTATGAGTTATCACGTTGAGAAAATCACGTTTTTATTTGGCTAAGATTAGGAGCCCTAATAACATGCAATTATATTCACCCTAATAACATGCAATTATATTCAAGTAACCTTATCATGTTTTGACAAGAGTTCAATACCAAGTAGGATTATATCGAAACCCTAATTAATATGGAATATCCTGAGCATCAGTTAATAGGACTGATATCAAGGATGTTTTGACAAGAGTGTAGAACTCTTTCTCATTTCCTACAGCAATGGCAAGTTCTTCAGGTAAGCATACTTCCTTTACGTATGCATGTTGTAATATACATGTGGTTCTATGCCTGCAGTGTCTCTAATGGTTTACAAGAATTAGATGAAAAGGCTTGAAATCTCAAAAGATGAAATTGATTGTTTTTAATGAGTTTATGCACTTACTTTCCGAAAATTCAATACATAAATTTAATTTTCACTCGAGTAATAATTTAAGAACTTATTCGTCAGTTCACTCCTAATAAATCCAATGTATACATTCTGCTTACGAATTAAGAAAACAAAATCCAATATACATAATCAAACCCTATATAAAAAAAGGACAGAACATCCTCTCCATCGATCCCATGATCCCATTGGTCATGCATATTAATGAGGGACGTTGGACTCCCTATTCGCAAAAGGACATAACTTCTTCTTGGTTGCACGACATAGTTTCTCCTTCAAGTCACACGTGACCCTAGACGCCGTATTCGGATACACGAACTCCATAGGTGACATGAAGAAGTAACTGTTTCGAAGAGAGAGTTCGACGTCAATTTCGTAAGCTCCACCTGCATCTTCTTCAACGCTGGCAATGAAGCCGCTTACTTGCCCTTCAAACGAAAGCGTCCCAAGAGTTATATTCTTCGGCACTTGGAGAAAAGAAGTCAATTTTGCAGTGGCAAACTTTTGGCGTTTGTAATAAGCAACGACTTGAATGTTTTCGTGGCGAAAGTGGCGGTCGGGGTTTTGGACGGCGACGGTAAAGGCAACACTGTAGTGGAGGGCGTGGAAGCCATTGGTGGTACTGGTGAGCTTGAACCCGGTGAGAAAGGCACGAGTTACGTTAAATGTGTTGCGGCGGTCGTGGGCCGTATTGTCTGTGTAGACGGCGACGATACTGATGAGGATGCCGGCAATGAGGGCGACCATAACACGTCGAATATTTATTGTAGGGCGAGGATTTGAGGTCATGGTTTGAGAACAAGAATATGGCAAACAAAGCTTGAGATGATCAAGGGTTTAGTTCAATATAGTAAGTATTCGAAGGTGTAAATATGTATATATAGGGTTTTCAATTAGATCATTTTCCTAATCGGAGTATAATTCCAAATGTGGCAAGGATTTCATGATGTTTCCAATTAATCCTTTTCCTTATGGCGGTTTCCTAAAGTTGCAAGGATTATTGTCTCGATCAAACCGAAATGAGTGTATTATAATAAGGAACTATTTTTAATTACGTACAAATTATATTTTGACATATATACAAAAATATATATTTAAAATTACAAAATGAAGTAACTAGTATTATTTTCAAAAAAAAAAAAAGAGTACCTAGTATTACTGTCTGTATCTCGTCATTTCTAAGTAAGAGTTTTTGAGTTCGACTTACTTAAATAGCCAGAGTCAGTCTACATGCAAGGCGAACAAAACATATGCCTTGAACCTCACTTTGAACTTGTCTTGATATTTTTCATGCCCTTATTTACATGTATCTTGAAAATTTCATCATTCGTCTTACTATGGACTTAATAAGGAAAAAACCAAAAATATGTTCTTATTTCTCCAAAATCTACTTCAACGTCCCTCAAATTCATAAAGTTGTGGAGACAGTAAACTAGATTGGAAAATTTCTTAATTTCACTAGTTTATTAAAATAAACACTTATATATTAAGGTACTAAACGAAAAGTTTCCCGTAATATTTTCGTCAATGTCTCAACTTGCATTGAAAAACGAGTTTGATATTTAATTATTGTGAATAAGACAATAAGATAATTACAGGGTTACGGTTAACAATTTTTTCAGTACAGGGTCGATTTAAAATGGGAGCTCACCGCAAGGATGATGAAAACTTTTTGGTCAAATTCTAAATAATTCTAGCCGTCAGATTTGTTGAGATTAATCTCAACCGTTGTTGAAAAGCGTGAAAAGATGGGAAGACTCAGTTCAGTCTCTTTCCACCTCTTCTCGATTTCGAACCAGACCCCAGACCAGAGACCACCACCATCCACCACTCCGTCGCGACTCGCTCTTCCCCTCACGTCCAAAACGGTGAACAGCCACCACTAGTCCGTCCACTCCCTCAATACAATCGACCACCACCGTTGCACCACCACCGCACCTCTATTCAGCTTCAGTCTCCAACATCTTCCTCCACATCCAAAACGAAATATCCGGGTTTGGGAGGAAACATCACCTCAACTCCACTTCCTTCCACCCTCAATTACATCAAGGTAAGTTTTCAAGTTGTGAAATTTGTGGTTGTGAATCTATGACTTAGGGTTTTTGATTTTCGAATTGGTTATGATTTTGTGAATGGGAATTAGGTTTCCAATTTCGAAACTATGTGGGGAGGGAATGAAATCATTGGTTTCAGAATTTGTGAATGGGAACCAGGGTTTCAAACTTTCAACTTTCCAAATTACGTGGGCAGGGGATGAATTTGTTTAATTCAGAATTTGTGAAAGGAAAATATGGTTTTAATTTTGGAAAAGATTGGGGGACTGGGAATATTAATTTTCGAAATCTTTTAGGAGTTTTGCAAATTATTGATTTATTTTCTCGTTGATGAATTTTGTTTCCATGCTCCTGTATATATCTGTGAGTTCAGTGCATGATCAGAGATTGAGATGCTGATAAAATGTTGGTCTTTCTAGACTTTCTTGGTTGCTGACCAGGGAATGTTTCTTGTTTGCAGCTGTTGGATAATCTATTCGTTTTGTAATCCGTTTATTTGTTCATATGTTTTGTGTACACTGATTTTCAACTAAATAATGTATACATTAATACAATTTTAAGATCTCATTGTGCAATGTGAGAAAATGAAACCTAATAGTCAATTTTGAAAACCACCTCAAACTTGAACGGTGTAAAATGTAGTTAGCCTAACAGAAAAATCATGTGCGCCATTGCAGATTTGTCATGTTCTAATTTACTCTCCTTTATGGATTGCGATGTTCCAATATAGTAATTTACTGTCCTTTACAGGAAAGAGATTCGAACTTGGAGGAGAAGGCACACAAATATTTAATTGAACTGGTATACAGCGAACTACAACATTTTTACAGGAAAATGAGAAATAATTGAATTTTCACGGGAACATGAATGGTCCGCTCTAGCTTTGCATTTAGGATTTCTAGTCTCCTTGATTAATGAGTTGCCTTTCAACTCTTCGCATTCCTTGCAATAAATATTGGAGAAATGGAACAGTCGCCAATACTTCTTATAAAGTAGAAGAAGAAATCCAGTAAGCATACGTCAGGGAGTTAGAGTTCGTGCTAAGAGTATGTCTGACAGAATCACTGATCTTCCAGACTGGGTTGCTTATCATATTCTTTCCTTCCTTGCTGTTACGGACCTCACTCGTTTTGGCTGTGTGTCCAAAAGATGCAGACAACTTTATCTGTCAACTCCTTCATTGAATTTTGATGGATTTCCTGATGCACATATTGTTTCCTGTGAGAAGCGGTTAGAGTTGTTGAGTTCATTGGATAGGTTCTTATTGATGTATCGTGGAGTTAATAACATACAACGATTTCGTATCTATTGGGATGATCTCCTTTTGAATGCAAGTTCAAGCTTCCGTCAAGATGCGGTCTTTCGGATGATGACATGGATCCATAATGCTGTAAGCTGTAACGTGGAAGTCCTTGAGATTTTTGTCCACATAATAATTGATCCGCCAAGAACTTTGTTACCTTCGTCTGTCTTTCTTTGTCGATCTTTGAGGTCTTTGTCGATATCAATGTGCTATAATATTCTTAAATCACCTTCGCTGACTTCTTCCTCTAATCTCGAGTGCTTGACATTGAGTAGTGTTACTATAGAAGATGAGGAGATTTTCAAATGGATCTCGTGTTCATGTAAGTGCATCAAGGAATTACATCTTGAAAATGTTTCAGGAAGCAGTGTCACCATTGAAAGCTCCTCTTTGAGATTGTTTAGTTTTTTGAATCCCAACCACTCATCTAGGTACTGCAACCTCAGCATCTCAGGTGAGAAACTTGAAGAAATACTTATCGACTGGGGATTTGATTCCACTTGCAGCAAATTACTGAATATTCATGCTCCAAATCTTAAGTATCTGAAGTGGTTAGGGAATTTGTTGTTTCACCAAAATTTTGGGAAACTAATGTGTCTGAAAAAAGCTGAGCTTTTTTTGAAGCCTAAAGCAGATGACTACAGCCTCTCGTCTGAGGTTCTTTGCATCATAAACAGCGCTGAAGCACTTATTCTAAGCAAAGAGATCACCATGGTAACAATATACTACTTTTTTTGTTTTTGAAGTAAATTTGTTTTTCTTAATTCTCAGAAACTGATGCAACTTTTACATGAATACTGGTTTTGTTTGGTTGAATTCATTTAGTTGTTCTTGTGCAGGCTCTGTTGAAGGGAGGTTTCATTCCAGGACTATTAGAGAATGTTAGTCATTTGTCTATTAATATTGGAAGCTGGCTTGATATTATACTCCCACAAATGGTCTCTATTTTTGGAAGAATGAATAATTTGAGTAGTTTGAACATCATGTCTGACATACTATTTTTACACCCTATAACTGATGTGAGTACTAGTCTTGCCTCTTTGTGTATTCACTCTTTGCGGTTCTTTTCTAACTTATTAACTTTGTGATCGCTGAATTTTTCGTTTGATTTGCTTGTTGATTTTTGACCTTCCTGCAGTGTTGTGGGTTTAATATGGGATATTGGAGACTGCAAAACTTTCCTTTTATTCATCAACTCAAGGAGGTGACCATAGAGCTGTCGAACGGATCTAATGGAGTTCAGTTTGCAAAGTATATCCTTGAGCATGCTGGGAATTTGAAGGAGATGAAGGTTGTTTATTCACTTGAGCAATCTAAGGCAATAGCAAAGTTAAAGAAAAGCAAGAGAGCTTCCAAAATTGCCACGGTTGTCTTTGAGGAGGATAAATTTAGAATGTCCATCCGTCGATCTTTCCACCTTTAATATGCACTTATTCTATCCATTCAACATTAATGTTAGTAATTTTGAGAGGTACATCTGTTTGAGTAATGTGGTTGATGTACATAGCATTAAGTGAACGATGTGTCGGAAATTGAGGGTCCCGAAATCGATCGGGGTGGCGCATGTAAGCATCAAATTTAGATCATGGTGAGTCTTAGCGATCGTCAAATCAGTTGAGTTGGCTTGGTTTCATGCTTGGTTAATGTTTGTATTGAAGCAGATTCGGAGTTAGTCGTTCATTTCTTTAGTTCTCTTAATTTGCCTGCATGTTTCCCTCGTTTGTATTCTTCTTTTTTCCTTTCTAATATATTTCAGTAGGTTTGGTGCTTGAGGTCATTCCTCTAGCTCATTTTTACGGAATGACCAAAATGATTGATAGTGGACAAATTCAGGAATCGGTTCTATCGATTTTAAATCTTAGGGATCAAAGTGATGAGTTATGCTAGTTTCAAAGCTTGTTTTGGCTAAAAAGCCAAAGTCAATGCTAAATAAGGCGACTGGTGCAGTGGTTAACTAAATTTCACCGTAATCAAGGTTGAGTTGTTGACGAAACTCATTAGTGATTAATCGGGCTTTTTGCCTCCAAATGACCCATCAATTAACTTTAAAAATTCATTTATTGGGCAAAACATTCATGAATTAGGGTGTGGCATAGTTACTAAATTACGAAACGGGCATAATGCGTGCAAAATTATGTATGTGTGTTATTCAGTAACTTTGCTAAAAAATAATATGAAGAATTCGCAATTTTTATATTTTATTTATTAAAATTATTTATTTATTTTTACTTCATTGATAATTTGTTAAAAATACGTATAGAAAGCGTTATTCTTAATGAAAATTTTATCAAGATAATGTGTATTAAATATTAAGAATATGAACCTACGTGTATGGTACTTTGAGTTATAAAAAATGTGTACAAAATACAGAAGTATTTTCGAAAAAAAAAAGAAAACGGAAGTATTTTCGAAAAAAAAGAAGATAATATATGCGAATTTAATTATTAATAATAAGAGAGTTTTAACGAAACACTCCCGGTACTATTCATTTTTAACGAAAAATCATTTTTACCTTTCATGGTACTATTCACTTACACCTTTATTTGTCATTTTTCATTAAAACTAAAGTTTTTGAGGACTTTTCGTTAGTTTTTCTTAATAATTAAGGTGCATCCGGGAGAAGTTAATGGCAGCTGCAAGTTAATGGCAAAGCGTAAGTTAATGGCACCTACAAGTTATCAACGTCAAGGAGTTAGAGCTTGTGATAAGACATTGTAAACATGAAAATTCTGTAGTGAATGAAACAAGAATACGTATACAAAGTAAATTTGTATTAATGAATTTGTAGGGTTACAATCTCTGTTTACAATTTTCCTCTGATTTAGTCTTCAAATTTGATGTAGATGCGTAGGTTGTTGATCCAAGGGTCACAATGACTTGATCTTGAACGAACGATTGAACAATTGCTTCAAGTTTTGAGCTTGAAACGATGCGTGGATAGTCTTCACCTTAGGTTTAGGGCTATGTCAAAGATGTTCTAGATGTAGAATTTCGTTGATTCTAGGATCCTGGCGACTTGATCTTGAATCGAACGTCGTTACAAGTTTTGAGCTTGCAACAAAGTCTTGAAGGAATCAACACAGGTGCTTGTTGATTCTTTAAGGGAATGCTTTGGCTTTGGTCGAAAGAAAGCTTCTGCTTTTGTTGGGCGTTCTTCGAAGAGAGCTTTGGCAGCGTATTAGTCTTGAAAGATTTGTGCAGAGGTTCTTTTGGATGTGTAAATTTCAGCCCTTCAATGTAGAAATTGTAGATCTTTTTGATGTCTTAGGACCTTGTATTTATAGACTTCTCAAATCTTGCATTTGGATGAATTTGGCTTTGATTTGTGTCTTGATTCGTCCATAGGAGAATTTAGGCATGTTTTGTGTCTTAATTTCAACCATTTTCCTTGCTTGGCCAAATTATAGGGCTTTCTTGTCTATTTTGTGAGCAATCTTCAATTCTTGCTTGTTTTGTGAAGATGCTTTAGCTTTATTTCCGGTTTGGGGAGCAATTTGGACCCCTTGCCGATTTTAAGGAGATTTCTTCCCCTTTGCCAAATTTTAGGAATGCTTTTGAGCTTCTTTTGTTTGATTTGTGACACATGTCATTGATGACTTGTCAATTTGTGATGAGTCATACACCACGTGGAGCTTTATGATGCATCATTTGTATGCAACGAAATGTAACTGTCTGACAGAATTAGTGATCTTCCAGACGGAGTTGCTGATCACATTCTTTCTTTCCTTGGTATAACAAACCTCACTCGTTTCGGATGTGTGCCCAAAAGATGCAGACAACTACTTAATCTGTCAACTCCTTCATTGGATTTTTAATGGCCTTTTTGTGAACATATATGGTTACATGTGATAAGCGGTTAAAGTTGTTAAGTTCTCTGGATAGGTTCTTATTGGTGCAGTGTGGAGTCAATAACACACAACAATTTCGCATCTATTCGGAGGATGATACCTTTGATGACGAAAGTTCAAGCTTCTGTGAAGATGTGATCTTTCGAATGATAACATGGATCCACAATGCTGTCAACTGTAGCATGAAAGTTCTTGAGGTTAAATCCGGATGCTTGATCCAAGGTTCTTAAAGCACCCTCGCTTACTTCATCCTCTATTGGTTGTGGATCTATGAGATCTCTATTCGTTTGCATGCAGCACTGCAAGATTCATAAAGCACTCTCGCTTACTTCATCCTCTAATCTCGAGTACTTGAAGTTGTCTTCTGTTTGTATAGAAGACGAGGGGAATATTTTTAAATTTATTTTCATGTTCATGTAAGTGCATCTTGTATATGTGGAAGGAATGTCACCATTGAAATTGTTTAGTTTTGTGCGCTCTGAAGAACCGGAACGCGATAGGTTTTCACACTTCCGCCTTAGCATCTCGGGTGATAAAAGGTCGTACCCAGTGCACAAGGCTCCCGCTTTACGCAGGGTCTGGGAGAGGTGAATGTCGGCTAGCCTTACCCCCATTTATGGAGAGGCTGCTCCCAAGTCTCGAACCCGAGACCTACCGCTTATGGGCGAAGGCACTTGCCATCGCACCAAGTGCGACCTCGGGTGATAAACTTGAAGAAATATTAATTGACTGGGAACTTGGTTCTGCGCACACAAAAACATTGAATATTTTGCTCCAAATCTTAGTATATGAAGTGGAGTGGGAAATCGTTGATCTACCAAAATCTGGGGGAACTATTGTGTTTAGAAAAAGCTGAACTTTTTTTGGATTTTGAAGACCACCTTAACTTCTTGTCTGAGGTTCTTTGCAAGGTTTAAGTTCTTTGAGCCAGACACAGTGCCGACTATGGTAACGAGACTCTACTCTTAAGATATATTTTTTCTTTAAAAAGTATTTATCAATTTGTTCTTTTATTCTTTCTCTGCAAGGCAGAGAGTTAGCAAGCCAGGTTTTTTTTTTCTTTAGTTTATTTAGGAGTATTTATAACATGCAGGCTCTGTTGAAGGGAGGAGGATTCTCTCCCCTCCTAATCTCTCTTCCCTTCCCTCCCTTCCGATTTGAACGGTTACGATTAAGCCACGTCAACATCTTATATTAATTTTTATATAGAGACAATAAGACAAAAATGAGTGTGTGAGAGGAGGGGAGGGAAGAGGATGAGAATAGGAGGGGAAAGAATCCTACTCCCTGTTGAAGGGAGGTTTATACCACTGTTAGAAAATGTCAGTCATTTGTGTATTGAAATTCAAAGCTCGCTTGATGCCCTACTCCCACAAATGGTCTCTATTTTTAGCGTGGAATGCATCCTGCAAGAAGCACACACTTCAAATGCTGGATAACTTGCATTTTTAATAAGGGTTGTTTCGAAAACCATATTTCTCTAAAAGCACTTTCAGTTATTTAAAATTCTTCCCAAACGAGCTCTAATTTGCATATATGCAATCACATATTAGAAGGTCCTACTCCTACAAAAAGGTTGCCTCGAGCATGTTAGAAAGAAAATATGAATAGCACATGAGTGATGTAATGCGATCGATCATCCACTTTTTGCACTTGCTGTAACACCATGCCAACTATCGAAAGATACGTGACAGCTTGACTTAGTTCTTTATTAGGTCCTGGAAAAGCTCCGGCAGATGGAGGTTTGTAATCTTGGTCCTCTTTCTGGTCTTCTTCGCCTTCGGTTTGCTGGATTTGTTAGGAATTCCTTGAGTCTCTGCCAAGGCCCTTCTTTTTGCAGTATCCGTGGCCGGCTTCATCCCATTCTTCTGGAGCTCTTTCTCAATCTCAATCATATCGTGAGGCAACTCAATCGCCCTAAAGTGCGCCTTAAGTTCATCATCAACCTTGAAGGACCGCTTGGGGGGGGGGGGGGCGCGTTTGGATATGCTATGTTCTCTTGTGAATCAAAGTTTGAAAGCAGCCAGATGTCGCCCGAAGCTTTTAAGGCCTGTAAATCGTCCATCACATTCGGGTATGCATTCTTCAGATCAACGACAGGTATTCCCACTGGAAACTCCCCTATTAGGGACCGGAGCTGACTTTTGTCCGCGATATAATGCTTGGGATTATAAGAGAAGCTCTTGCCATCATAAAAAAACTTTAGGGTTATTCCTCACACTGTCAAAGACGGCTTTGTTAATTAGCATTCACATCAACATAACGTGCTTGATTAATTTGCTCCATTGTGTACGAAAGCCTCGTCTCCCTCAACAGGTCTATAACAAACTTGATCTGAGCTCCTAGCGGGGCTTTCCGTATGCTAAGAATGTGTTGGAGTCTCGCTATATCATGTGAAAATTTGACAGGCATTGGAGCAGCAGGAGGCTTAGAGACTACTGATTGAAATCCCATTGAATTTTGCGGTTGGTTGGTTTTGGCTGCGATGAGAGGAACGGAGAGAGTCGAAGATCAAGGATCAATGGGGGGATGAGATATTGTCGTTCTCGTTTGGGTGTTCGAATACTCTGCTACTGCGACTGGGGAATTTGTAATCCTCTATTAATTTCCTATACTTGTTACGAATCCTATTCCTATACTTGTTAGGAATGAATGTTTCTCTCCATTGCGGTGTAGTATTTGAAAGGGAAATTAGTCGGTCGATCACATAAGAGAGTCGGTTAACTTGATCTTTGCTCTATATCGGGTAACAAAACCCTAGTTTCACATCCTTCAAGTTTTGACGTGCTCAGATCATCCATGTTGCGAGATTCAATCAAACGTTCTAGTCTACTAGCGCGTGGGCGTTCTAACTGACACATGATTCCTCTAGACATGTAGTGTTTTGCTTTGTGTTTTAAGTACACTGAAAAATCTCTCCCTAAATGGAATAAATTTCAAAT